AACCGGAGCCTCTCACGCCACTCCTGGCTTGCCATCGCATTTATCAGACCTTACGCTGGGCCTGTCAGACATGCAATTAGGGTGCTATCTGCTATTCTCCTTATGAGCAGAGCTTTCCAGTAGGGTAGAGACAAACCACCATTAAGGCCTCGTCCGTCGGCGTACGCGTAACCCTCAATTACAAGGGCTGAACTAAACTGAACTAAACATCCGCCAGCGTGGCCTCGGACCTGGCCTGGATGCGGACCTCCAACACCCGGCTGTTATCCTGGCATCTTTCCTCAACGGAGCCAAAACCCCCAGCGCACGCTCCCCACTACTCCAGCACCTTGCCTTCTCCCAGAGCCCATCTAAGCCCTGTCGTTTTTGCTAATGATGCTACCCTGGGCGTTTGCTCGCGGCTGGATTCCACCGTAGCATTACGCTGTCCCTTTCCGGGCACTTGTCCTGTGCTCTGAGGCACTGCAGGGATGTGACTCGTAGCTGGGTGTTGCTCCTTCTTTACAACGTGTTCCTCTAATACTACTGAAAATGAGAGGGATCTCCCTATATTAGACGCCATAAACACTTCACAGGGTGCAACGCAGAGGTGATTTACCCTCTGCAGTCAGCAGGGTCAGGCTTCAAAGCTGTTCCACCAAAGGAGGACCCACAGAGCCCAGAGCAATGAAGAGGCACCCACAGGGCTTCCTCTGCTTTCTGGGTGCATCCTGCACATATAATTTTGGAAATTAAAATGCTGACGGTTCCAGCGACAACAAATTTACCTAACCAGCACTGGCACCCCAGCTGCTCCGGCTTCATCACGCATCTGGGAATTTTTTTGAATTTCTCTTGGCCAAGGCTTTCTGGACAACTTTGGATTCAGCAGGTCAGCTTGCTACACCAGGAATCTTGCCGAGACCTCCAAACCCAGTATCTGGGTGCACAAACTGGCTGACTCCAATCAAGTTTCATTCATACACGGGCACTGCTAGGAGAGCAGGCTCTGCGACTCCCACTACCAGGCATGCTACACACGCAGTTTTTTGGTACTCTGTCTCAGTATCTATTTTCTTGCATTCCTAAGGAGCCAAAATAATAAAAATAATACTGGAACTTATCAATCCTTAACCGTATAATAACCCAAAAGCTCAATGACCTCCACAGACATCCCTAAACTGTTCTTTTCCCGGAGGCAGGAGACTGCTACTACGTTCGACCACATTCTTTCCAAGTTTACAATTGCTTTGGATTTCTCTTGCACTCCAAAGGCAGCCGCGATGCCCTGGCCGCGCTGTGCAGAACACCACGGTATGTCCAGCTACGCACGCTGCTGCCAAGCAAAGCACCGGTCAGGGCCGCACCTTTTAGTTCGCTCTAGGTTTGATCCAACAGCAAACTTCTCTGTTAGTAAGTAGCTTTTGAGGAAACATAAAATGCAAATAGAGGAAAAGGACATTTTCCACACCTACCTTGCTCATGTGCAACTTGCTGTTGGGAAACCTGTCCCGTGCTTTTCCTTTTCCCTACCGAACTGCCCGAGTTTCTTCAGCAGAGGGAGCTCAAGCTTTTAATTTCCCACCCCCACCCCCGCCTTTCCCGAGGATCACCCAGACGAGCCTGGGAGCCTGCTCCTGCTCCCGGGGCCTTCCCTGGGCAGCAGCGCCCACCCTTCTTCCTTGGGCAGCCCCGTCCACCCTTCCCTGGGCAGCAGTGCCCACCCTTCTTCCTTGGGCAGCCCCGCCCACCCTTCCCTGGGCAGCAGTGCCCACCCTTCTTCCTTGGGCAGCAGTGCCCACCCTTCTTCCTTGGGCAGCCCCGTCCACCCTTCCCTGGGCAGCAGTGCCCACCCTTCTTCCTTGGGCAGCAGCGCCCACCCTTCTTCCTTGGGCAGCCCCGTCCACCCTTACCTGGGCAGCAGCGCCCACCACCAGCTGGAAGGATGCTCCCCCCGAGCCGAAGCGCAGGATATCCCCCGGACTCACTTTCACGGCCGCGTTTTGGACCTGGCAGCCGTTGACGAAAGTGCCGTGGGGGGAGTTGAAGTCCTGAAGGACGAAGCTGTTGTCCGAGGCGGCGAATTCGAGGGCTGCGTGACGATCTGCTACACCTGCGGACTGGCACGGGCAATCAACAGGCAACACAGGCAAACCTGCCAGCAAGCAGCTCAGGTTTTGTTACCGATTTGCCAAGCTCCCCTCTGCTTGCTGTACATCCCTGCGTAAACAAGCTGGTAGCCCCTACGGCTTGGCACGGAGGACTCCAGCGCATCCTCCTCCCTGCATCCAAACCGCCGTCCGTTTTACGCCCAAGCGCACGCGTCTGCCCAGGGGCTGGGCGGCTTCCTCGCCCCTACCTGCAGGACGATGTCGGACCCTTCGTGCCTGCCTATCGTCGTCGTGTGCGGTTTCAGCTGAAAACATCCCTCCGAACTCTTTAGAAAGGCTTGCATCATCCAGCTCCTTCACCTGCAAGGCTCGCGTTAAAAAACCCAACTATTCATTTAATAACCCCCCATCCCACACACACGCAACTGAGCCGAGAAAGTCTTGACCAACTCGTGCGCTAGAAATTGCACAAAATCAACCCAAACGTGGCTCTGCCCCGGCCGGCAGCGCGGCCGCAGCCTCACAAGTAGCCTTGGAAACCCTGGCCGCGCCGGAGCCCGCTGCCGCCCTCCTGGGTGCGTTTTTCTCTTTGTTTTGCCTTTTTTTTTTTTTTTTCCTTCCCCCCTTCTCCTTTTCCCAAGCAACTGGCCCGGAAGCACAACACAGCTCCGCGCCAGCCACAGCTCTCCTTGCCAGCCTTGCCAGCGGGGGAAACCCAGGGGAACATTTCCCCACGTATCAAAAAAAAAACCTCACGGGGGGGGGGGGCCGTGCAAGCTGCCGGTGAACATTTTTTCCCCTTTATTACTTATTTTTTATTTAATACCGTGCACGCACGCACAAACAGGTCCCGCAACCTCAGGCAAGTGGATAAACGTCGCCGCCTGGTGATGGGGACGCTGGCACCCATCGGCACGCTTCTCCTTCAACGTGCCTTCGTCTCAGGCTGCCACGCACCCTTTTTCAGCAGAAAAAGGGAAAATAACACACCCGCCACCGACACTCCCCCCGGGCAGCCTCTGGTCTGGCCTCGCCGATGCCGGTGACACTTGAGCCTCTTTTCCCCCCATCCAAGCGCCCGACCCCGACCTCCCGCCCCGCCGCCATCCAAACCCGTCTCCCCTTCGCCGCTGGCAAACAGCACCCCAAATGACAACCCCTAATTAGCGCGGGTTCCCACCATTGCACTCTGCCAATTCCCATGCCTTTCCCTGCGTTGCCTTCCGACTTTTGTTAGCGCGTCTTTCAAGCACGACTGCGGTGCAGTTGACTGGTTGGAGGCGGGCGGTTTGGTGAGCTGGGCGCAGCCTGAGCACCCGCATCCCCCCATGGGTTTTGGGAAGGAGGGAAGCGCGGCAGCCCTGTATCGCCCCAAACCACAGCATTTCCCTCAACCCCAGTGTTGTGCCATATACAACACGACTATAATCCTTTTGATAAGCTGCCCAGGCCTGCTGGAAACGAGCCTAAACCTTGCATTTTTGTTAACAGCAAGCCCCAAGATCGCTTTTTGGCCCAGTCCCGCTCCCACGGGTGAGAAATTCCCACATCATCCAGCAAAACACATAGGAAGCGGAGCACAAATTCGCCCTTTGGCCAAACTTGCAGGCACCCAGACAGCAGGAGCGGGCATTGTGCTGCGAGAGTGGCTGTTGCCCCGCCGGGCTGCAAGTCAAGGGCAAATCAGTTCAGATGCACGCACGTGAAACCACAGCACTTCCCCCCGAAAATAAATTGCCCAGCTACAAATGTCCTGCAAACAAAGGTTCCCTGCTATTCCCAGCGCTGCTCCGATGCTTGGCAGGACCCGAATGCCAACCCCAGACAAAGGGGCCGCTCTACTGACCAGGGGGGCACGGTCAAGCTGCGCCGTGGCCGTTCGTCACCCCCGGCTTGCCTGACACCGCTGGCACCTGCAAACAAAAAACTGCTACAGGAGAACAGCTAGCAAGTCCTTGCAAGATTTTATCACGCTTAATTTGAAGGCAGAAGCAGCAGATTTTGCAGAGGAGCGCTCCGCTGGGAACCCGGGCGCAGTACTTCAGCACGTACCCTGATGCTGGCCCCCACTGCCAGCATTTTCGTCCCTTCCTTTCCTTGCAAGGGCTTTGCACTGAACACAGCAGCCGAGGTTTTCCAGCCCCAGTCCAGCGCTGGCGGCGATGCTTTTTAAAACTAACAATCACCAGGCTTCCTCAGTCGCATTAATAACAGGTCTGCACATCTTGTGAGTTGCCATTGAACATGAGTTACCTTCCAGAGACGCTGGAGTATACGTGTAATCTTAAAAACTGCATGGGGAAACACATCCCGATTTCCCACCTACCAGCGTGTCTTCCCTGGGAAAAACATCTCCATCATACTCACCTTCAGGAATAACTGTTCTCTTACAACATATTACAGTGCCACCTCAATTTCACACAGTCACCCTCGGATGCCATCCTAGGACATCCATCCATGCCTAGGAGCCATCCTAGGACAGCGATGGTCGCAGGTCTGGGAGCACTCGCACTTCTCAGCATCCCACATCTCCCTCTGCTTTCCACATACCGTCAGAGGGCGAGTGTGCAAGTAGCCGGAGATGCTCGTTAGCCATTCGGGCATTTTTCGCATAATTACTGCATTAGTCACAGCCCGTTTCACTGCAGTCACTCCACTTTACGTCATTTTTTCAGCTCTTTTGCTACATGAGACATTGGGAAAGATTCTGCTTTCGCCACTCTGGTTCATTAAGTGGGACTTTCTGGTAAAGAAGCTCCATGAAACTTCAACTCCCAACTGCTCAGACAAGAGGCTTCGCTTTATTAACCCAGTATTTACCCAGATTTTCTAAGACAACTGTTAGGGTTGTGTTTCTTCACCAGGGAGAGGGGACTTCGTGCCTTGCCTCCCGCTGCGGGCAGGCTCTTACGGGCACACGCGCCTGGGAGACAACTTCCAAGGAGCTGCGCCACCTTTCCAACCCCGCAACAAGAACCGCATGGGACCCCCCGCCCCACACCCCTCAACCTGGGCTATATTCTTCTGCTATTTTTTTTCCTTCTCTTCAATAAGGGAGTCCCTTATTTAATGATGTTATTTTGCCCATCCGAGATCACGCCTTGGGGCACAGCAAAGCGAAACTCCTGTGATACAACAACAGAAATTACGAGACGCAATATGAAATAATAACAAGATAAACTGTCATATGGATTTGGACCGGCATCTCTTCTTTGTCTTCCTTTCGGCCACTTGCACTCCTCTCTCGTACCTTATTATCAACCGTATTGCCAAGTCAACCTCTGTCGAATGGTCCTTACCCACATCGATACCAACAAAGCCACATCGGTCCCGGCAGCCCCGAGGCAGAGGGCCACAGATTGGCCACGCCGACGTCCGCTACAAATTCACGGGAGATTCTGCTCTCTGCCCACACCGTCAAAATTCAGACCATTCGAGGGGAGGCCGTGGCTGAACGTGCTGACGACCGTTGCCGATAGCTTTGCTGGAAGCCCGGGAGGCAGCACGTGGCTGGGGATGCCCGTGGAGCTGCATCCGCCCTATAAAAGCTGACTGCTTTTATACCGCTCCAGCTTGCAAATCTTGGGAAGGGCCAACCATGCACGAGTGCACACACGCACACAAACACAATGTACAAAATATTTATTTGGAACAGGTCTGCTCACACGGCATGCTCAGCAATCGTTTCACCCCGCACGCCTCCTGGCAGCAGTGCACTCAGACAGCTCCCAGCCCCCTGGGTTTATCCACTTGCCTCAATCAGACCGTCCCTTCGCATCAGAGCGCAAAACACAACAGAGAAAACAACCGAGGCAAGAAATCCATCCTCTCCCCGAGGAGCACGGGGCCCGTTTCATCCCACTTCCCACCAGCCAGCACAGACCTTGGCAGGAGTTGGGTTCTGTGCCACCCTGGGCCACCATCCCAAGCCCAGAAGGGAGCGGGGGAAAGCTGCAGTGCTGCTCTGGCAGCGTGGTTTCCCTTACTCAGAAAGAAAAGACATGGAAAAAAAGAAAAAAAAGGAACGTTTCCCTTTTCCACTTGGAAAATCCTTGTCCAGTATCAGCTTGGTGGCTTGGAAAAGTCTTGCTGGGGTCAAGGGGGAGAGGAGGTGAGAAGATACATTGGGTGCTCCTTATGTAAAACACCACAAGTTACACTTTTGGTACTTCCAGCCTTCATTTCCTTCAGAGCAGCAGACCTACTGGCATTCAGGTTTCTTTCCCCACGGTCTTTTGTAAAACCCCATCCTGGGGAAAGCTTGTCCTGCCCCCGTGCTGCACCACTACGCGCCCATCGTGTCCTCCACATCGCAGCTTCCAGGGAGCCCTGACCGTTTCTGCACCCACAGACCGAGCCCCTCTTAGTGGGGGGCGGGGGGGTGTTAAAAAAAACCAAACAAAACCCCCCAAAACCCCAGCAGCATCACAGATTCCTCTTTTTTAAGTCATTTGCTGGCTGTCTGGCACTTTGTCCTGGATCTCCTCGTACTTGGGCGGAGGGGTCAGCGGCTCTATCGTGATAGGGGCGGTGCTGTTCCCCTCCGTGAGGTTTAGCCTGATATCCTTCAGGTGCAGCTTCTCCGACTTGATCCTCCGGACCTTCAGCGGCTTCA